CATGGGTCTCTCGTGTTTCCTCTAATCTTGTAAGCAGAGGCACTCACTGCCTTTTTTCCAGACCAGAATTTGGCAAACTATGGCCCATAGGCCAAATCTAGCCTATGACCTGTTTTTGAATCGCTCCAGAGTTAAAGTGTTTACATTTTTAAAGAGCTGTAGACCGACAACAAAAACAATAATGACAAGGACAATGAAGAAGAACATGTGGGAGATTTGTATGTGGCCAGCAAAGCTTAAAATATTTACTAACTGATCTTTTACAGAAAAATTTGCCTCTATTCCAGATTATCTTTTCAAGCATGTTTGTATAATGAACAGTCTTGGAAACTAGATAGTGTCTCCCTCTGGAGCAAGGGCAGGTGTCACCTGGCCCATTTCCTCCTGCCCTGTGGGAACTGGACCTCCAGGAGTAAGTGTGAAAATTATGGGACTCTCTCTACTATAACAAGCTGTCCTTTTTTTCTCAGGAATCTCATATCTTTTGCCAGCATCTACTGTGGAAGGCTTGCAAGTGGGGTAAAAATCTCAAGAGTCTTCACAAATTTTGCCAACTACTTGAAGGGTTAATCTAAATTTGGGCGCAAAAAAAAAAAAAAAAAAAAAAGGCCATATTAGATGTTCATGAGTAATTCTAATAACTATAGATTATATATTTCACTAAAAATTTGAGAGGAAAGGATAAAAAGCATGTTAGGAAGACATTTAAATCTTTTTAAAGTTACCTTGTATGATAAAGTTTTCTTGAATTGTTCACTGAAATAGAAAAGAAAATGAATAGTCATCACTCTAAATACCAATATTAAGGGTAAAATACCCTTAAAAAAAGTAAATTATAAATAAAAATATGTATTATATCTGAAGAGGATAAAATGCTATCCTGAAGTAAACACTATGTCAGTTTGAAATGTCTTTATAAAAAGATAAAAGCATACCATCAGTATGTTATTTAAAGAATTTCTTTCAAAGATTGTTTATGCTGTTAGAGAAGAACAGCCTTTTTTTTCCCCTCTTTTCACGGAACACACAGATCCAGGTGTTTTAATATGTGGGTTTTATTACTATTCAGGTGTGGTAAGGCCAACACATCAGGAGACAATTGCTGTGTTTCTCAGTTTCCAAGATGAGGGGCTGCTGCACCACATAGGGCCACATGGGAGAAGCACCAGGATTGGTCAGGAGGCAGAGGGAGTGGGGTAAAATGTGGGCAAGAGCATTCATTGTGGTCTCTGTGGGAAGGAACAGACAAGGCGGGGTAAGTAGATGTAGGACTGGCTCTGTGGCATAAGAGCTGTCCCTAGTTGTCTGGTACCTGTCCCTGAGGTATATATAGGGCAGGGGGATAGTGGCTCAGAACTATAGGAACTTGATAAAGGACTAGTTGGGGGTAAGAGCTCTAGATTGGTTGGTTTGCCTATGAAAGACTCACTTGTAGACAAGTCCTTTATTATCTCTAGGAATTGACTAGCTCTAGGAGAGGTAGTCTCTCCAAGATCAGCAAGACCCCAGATGTCAAAATACCAGAAAATTAAAAGCATAATTAATATATCAGGAAATTAATGCTGTCACAGCTATTAAAGGCAAAAACACATTCAATAAACATTATGTCTTTTATTAATGCTGTAGCCTTCATTCCTAAGTCATTCAAAAGCCTATACATTTGGTGTTAAATTTGTATCAGTGCCAATTTGTTTAAGGGAGTATTTGTTTCCATGTATTATAGAAACAGTATGCTGTTTATAAATTCCCAACTTCATCTTTGGTGATTGAGATCAGTCTCACACATAAAGAAAGAAACGAACTTTTTAAAGACTTTTTCCAAGAACAAGGGAGAAAAATGTCAGTAAATCTACAGGGGTGAGAAAAAGTTGACACTAAATTGAGACTCTAAAATTGGTTAAATTAGATAATAGGCTGAACCATCAAATCTGCATTCTTTTTTTTTTTTTTTTTTAAAGATGACCGGTAAGGGGATCTTAACCCTTGACTTGGTGTTGTCAGCACCACGTTCACGCAGTGAGCTAACCGGCCATCCCTATATGGGATCCGAACCCTTGGCCTTGGTGTTATCAGCACCGCACTCTCCCAAGTGAGCCACAGGGCCGGCCCCAAATCTGCATTCTTAAGAATCTCTATAGTGCTATACTTATAAATTTCTTGATGAGTTGTAGAAATATACATTTTATCAGTATAGATTTAGAATAAAATGAAATTTCAGCTGAATAAGCCTCAAATTATATTTTATTTTTTGCTTTTCAAAAGTTTCTTTGGTTTTTTCTCAACTAGTTGCAAATTGTGTTAAAAAAAAAAAAAACAATGAAAGACAAAGAAAAAGAAGGCTATCACTTGTATTTTGTTACTTTAAATTACTTCTACAGAAGCCTGTAAGTATAAATTCTAATCAAAATTTTCTAAGGTTTCCTAAAAGTAATGATGTTCTCAACTAGTTGCAAATTGTGTTAAAAAAAAAAAACAATGAAAGACAAAGAAAAAGAAGGCTATCACTTGTATTTTGTTACTTTAAATTACTTCCACAGAAGCCTGTAAGTATAAATTCTAATCAAAATTTTCTAAGGTTTCCTAAAAGTAATGATGCAACTGCTCAAGAAGTCTTTTTTGACAGATTATAGGATAGGCTTCACAAATCTAACATAGTTTATCTACTCTCTATTTAAAATGATTATCATGATTCTCAATAGCTATGAATCAGAGACTAAAACTGTCATGAACACCAAAAGGTTGGCCCTGCAATTGGTTGGGTTAAAGTAGTGAGAATTAAAATCTCTCCCTCTTCTATGTGGGTTAAGGAGTGTAAAAATGGCTGGCAAGCTTGTAGAGGCAAATTTTTTAAAAAATATTTTTAAAAATTTGGGGTGGCTGGCCAGTACATATATTTGTAGATTAATCATCAACACCCATGGGCAGTATTTAAAAATACTACTGCTAATACTGTTACTAGCAACAGTTCACAGTTATTGAGCATTTACCCTATCACACTTCTAAGTGCTTTACACACATCATTAAATTCTCACAAAAAACCTTGAGGTAGTTAATATTATAGCTCTCATTTTGTAGATGCAAAAACATAAGCAAAAAGAGATTAAGTAAATTGCCTGAAGTGAAACAACTTATAATAAGATGAGAAGCCACTATTTGTATCCAGACGGTATACTTCCAGGTTCTAAACACTTAACCACTATACTGTACTGCCTCGCAAAGATCATTTTAATTTCATTTAGAAGTACACAGAGAAGTGCTGAAGCTGACAGATCTATATTGGCTGACTCCTAGATGGACTTATTTCTAAATTCCAACAAGAGCTGGATCCAGGAGAAAAATCAGGAACCAGACATGAAGGAGATCCTTCCTTCCTTATACAATTGTTTATAAACAATACTTGCCATTGTGAAAAGAGGAAAAGAGTTCAAAACTGAAATCTCATTGCAACCTTATTTCAAACAAGTTTCATGCATTGGTTTATCCCCACATGGGTCTTAGATAGAACACTAAATTTCACCTTTTTGGAAAATTAAACTTCGAGGTGTTCTGAATGAAACCATAACAGCAAGGACATGTGACGAAGGACGCCCGTGTTTTGATGCAGTGCTCAATCACCATGTCTGTTGCCACTCCACAAGCATGTAACGCCACCTGGAAAATAAAACCAGACCTTCGCACAAGTTCTTTCTTAACTAACAGTGCAACTTTTGTGTCCCCCCTTTTTTATTAAATTTCTGTGACTGATTCTCAAGAGGTTTCAAGTTACCGGAATGTTACTCTATAATAGTTTAAATAGTTGTCATTTAGACATATTGAGGAACTACTTAGCTATTTATGTTAATTTAGAAAATTAAGCAAGGCTGAAAGATTACAAACGGAACATTGCAAATAAAGCAAAAGATTCATTCAGCGGGAAATTTAATGAAATCTTAAATGTGGAAAATTTAATATATATATGCCTAACCAGTGCTCTTGCTGATCATGAATTTAGTTGTAGCACTGTGGCAAAAGTACTAGATTTGAAATCAGAATCAGTCTAGAACTCTAGTTGGCTATGTTACCCTGGGCCACTTAAAATTTAACTTCTTTGGGACTAAGTCTCCTCAAATATAAACTATTGTTAACAATATTGAAAAATCACAATGCTGTTGCAAAAATTAAATAAAAATGTATTTGAAAACTTTTTCAAATGCTGCATGAATAAAACCTAATCAGTGTTGTATGAAACTTGATCAAATCATAATTATTGAGTACCTTTCAAGGTGTTCTCATATACATAATAACAATCCTTATAACGTAATAACAATTCAATGATGAATTGAAGGAACTAAACTACTTTCAACTGGTTTATTTAAAAAGAAAAATAAAATTATAAATTAGAATAAAGAGTAGGGTTTCAATAATTCATGAAAATAAAAATAACTCTAAAAATGATTTTAAAATGTTTTCAAAACACACATCCTTAAATATATCTATACTAATTACAATCTAAAGTAGCTAATTATGAAAATTAGCAAAATAAAGCAAAATAGGATGCTATAAAGGAAAAGCAGATGGGGGTATCCAGAAAAATGAAAAATTACATTTTGCCAGAAAAATGCTCAGATCTTCATTCCATTCTGGACAGAGACAAATTGTACTGGATTATAATTTTATCTTGGAGGGAGAGATTTCACCAACTTCAGGATAGGGAGGGGCTCTCCGGGTGAAGAACAGATTTTCTGGAAATTTCTGGATGTAAGGTATTATAAGCCTGATTCCCCTTTCACTATGGTTATGGTAGTATGTTTGTCCCCTCCAAAACTTATGTTGAAATTTAATTGCCTTTGTAACAGTATTACAGTGAGGTGGGACCTTCAAGAGGTGATTAGACCATGAGGGCTTTGCCCCCATGGGTGGTATTAATGCTGGTTAAAAGGGTGAGTTCAGCCCCGTCGTCTCTCATCCCCTCGCCTTCTGCCATGTGGTGATGCAGCAATGAAGCCTTTGGCAGATGTCAGCATCTTGATATTGGACTTCCCAGCCTTCAGAACTGTGAACCAATAAATTTCTGTTTATTATAAATTAGCTGGTCTATGGTATTCTGTTATAGCAGCAAAAATGGAGTAAGACACCTTTTGGACTGGAAAGCTAAAAACAATGCTATTATGAGAAGAGGAAAGCAAGATTTCCACTCCCAACCTTTTCCCTGAGTTCTCCCCTTCCTTGTAGACTTACATGGCTTACATAGAACCAACAATGTATGGTTGCTGTCAATCCAACTTTCCTGTTTCACACTGAAAACAGAGCCTAGGAAGACTGCCACTCCAGTGAAGGCAGCGACAACTACAGGGTAATGGAAGAGTGTAAAACCTTGATTTCTCATCTGCCCCTTGTATTTAGTCAGTTTTGCAGAGTGAAAATTAAGGAAATCCTATTTCCATGAGTAGCTGGAGAATATCTCATAGTAAAAATTATAGATGGATTTTCCCCTGGAGGGAGAGAGAAGAAAACTGACACTCACTGAGTGCCCTTTAGGTGCTGACACTCAGATCCTTCTATGCTCATGACAACCTTGAAAGACGTTACTATCTCCATTTTATTTATTTATTTTTTAATTTTACATGTGTATAGTTTCTTACCGTTTTCAGAGCACTTTCACATCTATGATCTGACTTGATTCCTCTATGAAGAGTGACCCATTAAACCAATGCATTCTTTTTTTTAATTTTTTTATTTTGTCAATATTACAATGTAGTTAGTTATTGTGTCCCATCACCAAAACCTCCCTCCCTCCTCCCTCTCTCCCTTATTTTTTTATTTTGTCAATATTACAATGTAGTTAGTTATTGTGTCCCATCACCAAAACCTCCCTCCCTCCTCCCTCTCCCCCTTATTTTTTTATTTTGTCAATATTACAATGTAGTTAGTTATTGTGTCCCATCACCAAAACCTCCCTCCCTCCTCCCTCT